ATTTGGTATGTTTTACTCTGTTGGTTAGAAATCAAATATTTTATACTTCTTCCACTTCAACATTGTAAATAGGTCAAAACAATTTCATATTTTATGAAGATGTTAGAAGAGGCAAAGGGACAACTGTCCTGCCAGAGCATCCCTACACATCTCCCCACTCACATCTGCCTAAGCTTCTTCCAGCCCAGTAAGTTAAACATAACACACTCTGCCTTGTCTTATCGCCTGAGGAACAGGGAACAAGTGCCACCTTCCGTGTCACAAATGAATCATCCACTTTCTTCCCCATTACACCAACTAAAAAAGCCCTGATCAACTGAGCCTTCCGTGACTGCAATTCTTTTCTATTTGCACCATTACAAGTACCCAGGAACCCTCACTGGTCAACATTTTCATAACACATCTAGATTACAGCACTAAAAGGACCTACAAATATATCTCCCATCCAACTTAAATGTTAACTTTATATTAGTTTTAGCTTTACATTTTAATGGCTTCCAGTGCCTATCATGCATAAATACACTTAAGTGAGGTCAAAAAACAGTCTTGACACATTTGGATAACAATAATGACAACAGAGCCCACAAACTTTGATATCTGCCTGCTTGAGTTCAGTGTTTTCACATGTTAGTTAAAATTACAAATGCATTTGCATTTTTTTCTTTTTCTCCCTGAAAATCTTGGAAACTTAACAGCAGAAGCCATGAGCAAACATGTTGATGCTCTAAGTTAAGCAACGTATTTTCATTTTAAGGATCACAAAGTAATCTGAAGAAAGCATGTTTGCATATGGAGCCCAAATTCTTCCAAGAAAAACAAATAAGTTATCTGCTGGGAAAAGCACAAAATGAGACAAAGCTAGTAAGATTACTAGCTCAAAATCACTCAAAGAAAAAATGCCAGACTGAGGAAAACAAACTATTCCAACAAAACATGAAACTTCCCAAGCACTTCTCTCAAAATGAGGGGACTGCTTGAGAGTTTTCAAACTCCTGCACCCATGCACAGACACTTTTAATTGGGTTTGCAACAAAAACACAGCAATTCCTAGGCAGCAATTACTCCGTTCTGAACCTGCCCTTACACTTAAAATAACAAAGGAATAAATGACATTGCTTAACTTTTTTCCTACTATCATAAGTGGGCCACACCTGGAAGTTGTAGCTGCATGAGCCCAGAAATCTTTTCCTTCAGTCACCACAGAAACTAATATAGAAACTTTTCAATTTGTTCTCCTGTTTCCAGTAGAAAATTTACATATGAATTACACACCAAATTCCCTTGGTCTAATACACTGAAGTTGCACAATGAAAATACTGCTTCTTCATGATCATCCTTCCCTTGCTATCCTTTTCTGTCTTTACAAAAAAGCCATGCACACCTAAAGCCAACAGCAAGCGTAGTGGTGAGTCTACCTCTTGCCTTGAGTCCACACATGGAAACAGAGATTTGGAAATATATCCTCACATTTCAAAGGATTTTAAGATTCACAGATTTTCTGCCAGACAGGCTCTCTTTTTAGTCACCGCCTTGTGTGTAAGTATTGACACAGTAGTCTGTACCAGTTAAGAAATCATCTGATGCAACTCAGCTGATTTTCAAAAGTCTAAAAAATTGCATATCGTAGCTCACATAAATAACTGATATTCAGGGCTAACTGGAAGACTCAAATACTGATTTTCTATTACTTTTCGTGTTCATTAATCACTATTAGATAAAGAACAAATGAACTCACACAGAGGCTAGAAACAGCACAAGAGTTACTTAGGTGTTTCCCATTACAGAACACAACTCAAACATTGGTTTTGCACTCAAGAACAGAACTGCAAACATTTCATAATCACACCACATATGGGAAATCAAAACAAACCTTACCTTATTTAAAATGGCAATTTTAGTAAAAAAGTCAGGCTATGCTAGTACAGGGTGTAAGGAACCATGCCATCCTCCTTCGGCAGACTTTTCCAAATGCCGCCGTATTCAACTAAGTCTAACTCCACTCTGTTTTGTTTCCCCAGGAGGACCCATTCAGGACCATGTGCTCCTTTTCAGCTGTCAATAAACAGAAGCAGTGAATTCCCCAGCGCTTCACAAAGCTAGTTAGGCATAGCCATTCATTTCTTCAGGAAAACAGGGCATTGATTTCAGCAAATTCCCAGGGAGCAGCTACAACAAAGGGATCAAAGACCCACCTCCTTTCCTGCCTGGCTTTGGCCGGCTGGGTTGAGAGGAGCAGCAACAGGTTTCCCCAAGAGCGGGCTCTGTCCCCACCGACTGCTGTACGCTCCATTCACACCCATCGCCTTCCTACATTCCTGGGACAGCCCCCAGCGCTAACCGTGACAAACCCCTACATTCAGGCAGCATAATATACTGCACACTAGTTCATCCAAGGATAAAAAGAAAAACAAGCTCCAAGGGAAGTCTGCTGCTTCCCCGACCAGCCGAGCCTCAGTAGCTGACAGACTTCGCATAAACGTGGGGTTTTTTTTTTTAGCTTCTCCATCTAAATCAGAGAAACGCTTGCTACCTCAAATTCATGGTGCTGAAACGTCTCTGGAATGTTGACTTTTCTGATTTATTTCCACAAGCTTGAAGACTTAGCTGCTGGAGTTTGAGGTCTAGCTGCAGCAACCCTTGTATTGTGCAACCATGATATTTTCTTTGTGCAATTTGCCCTGGACTTCAGCGGGGTTTTCTTCTAAGGAATTTAAGGGGGTTTGTTCTAGTTTGGTTAGGATTTTTACTTTTTAAATTATACATCTTGTCTTCATTACTGTAACCTGGAACAAGACTTTCAATGCTAAAATTTGACCTTGTATTGAACCAAGCATTAGCAAAAGACAATGTCATGGTCAAGCTTAAGGACTGGTGGTTAGACTACATGTCTACTGCTAAACAGGAAGAGACAGAGATCTGGTGCTGAGACCACCTGGCACCAGCTCCATGTGTTTAAATGCTCCTCATCTCCTCTTTTCCCCCACAAACAGTTTGGTTATATCCAAATTCCTTACCTGGAACACAGTCGGGTAGATATTATCCCTCACACACACCCTAGTGTTTGTTGCTTGTTAGTATAAACTAGTACTGAGCTCATAGGCTGGCCCTGCAATATTTATTTATATAGATACAGACATAAAGATCTGAAGTCAATTCACACCTGTACAAATTTGCCATGTCATTCTTTAGCATTCTCCTGTGCACTGACGTTTCACCAAGGCACTATCCGGCCGTCACAAACACCCACCAGCTGGAACCTCAAAGTTCCCTCAGCACAGGTACTGCCTCCGGGCTACTAACACATCTCCAAGTTAGAAGACAAATGTCTATCCCACTAACATGAGCAAGTACCACAGGACCTGACACAGAACAAGCAGTGCAGTGCTGAGAAGACCAAGGACAGGTGGTAGGGATGACTGCTCACTGCGCAGAAGATAGCTGAGAACACAAGAAAATACAGAACTGCAGAATTATTGAAGTTGCAGGAGACCTGTAATGATCAACTAGCCCAGACTCTTGCTGAATGCAGGCCCTTTAATAGCATTACCCAGGGCCTTGTCAAGCTGTATCTCGAATACTTCCAGTGAGAGCAACTCTACCACTTCCCTGGGCAGCCTATTTCAATGTTTGATCAATCCCCCATTGAAAATGTCCCTTGCATCCACAAGTATCTCCCCTGAAGCAACTTGAGGCCATTGCCTCTTGTCCTGTTGAAGTGCATGCCTGGGGAAAGGCTGCTTCCAACTCCTGTTCCATAACCACCATTTTTGTACTGAAAGACCATGACTAGATCCCCTTGAGCCTTCTCTTCTTTGAGCAGAACACACCTAAATCTTTCAGCCTCTACTCAAGTGACAACTTCTTTAACACCCTGATCATTAGGGAGACCATGAGAAAGGCACTGTTGCTGAGCTGAAAAAAAGACAAATGAAACTGCCAGGGCATAAAATTGCTAAAACAGACAAACATCTGAGTACAGTTGAGTAGTCTTGACCATGACCCCTGTGCTGTCACCCTGCCCTCTGCTTTCTTTAATATTTCACTCCTGATAACAGTTTTGCCTGTTGCATACAATACAGTCAGGCATATTACATTCCTTATTTTAGAGTTCTCTCTGTATCTTAAGGACATTTAAGCATGCTCCAAAATTGTCATATTCCAGAAAAAAAAAAAAAAAAGCATTTTAACAAATAACTTGATCTCCACATATAATTGCTATCTTCCATTAAGCCACAGATTGTTTTATATGTATTAACTGATTGCAGTTATTAATGAAAAAAAAACCCAGTCCTGTTTTCTTTGTTCCTCTAAGGATGTACCGAAGAATGATAAAATGTGTCTGAAATTTCCCTCTCGTATCGCACAGTTTGCAGCTGGGCAGGCCTGGGAGGCAATGATTTAAAAAGGCAGCTGAGACACTGGAACGACTCCAAAAGAACGCATGTAGATCAGATCAATAAGCAGAAAAAATGTGCTTTATGCTTCAGATAACTTAAGCTGGAACAAGAGAGTGCAAGTATTGGGGAAACGTGGGCAGCAAAGTATAAGCATATACCACTTGTCTGTTAAGAAGGACAAATAATAGTGATAAGGCAGGAGATTTGGATGTGACTGGGATAATCATGTCTTGGAAGGAGTTAAATTCACAAAATGATTAAAAAACCCCAAGCACATCACTCTAGTAATCTGGGATAGTATTTGTGCCAAAGATAGATAAAACATTTTAGACAGAATGGCAATTTTAAATCTCAATGAACCAGTCTGTTCTTATATTTGAGCCAGATTTTTACAATTTTACTCACATTAAGTCATGCTTTATTCCAAGAATAATCCCGTTGATTATAATGGTAATATTGTTCCACAGATATCTCAGAAGAAACACAAATGTAAAAGCAGACTTTATACTTCAGATGAAAGGCATCAATCATGAGTACATCTGGGAATCCCATAAAAACATATGGTACAAAAACATCACTGTGGGATGATGGAAATGTACTTACAGAGCAGGTCTGTGGACATGTTTACAGATCAGGCAAAGGAAACCTACACAAAATAATGAAAAAAGAATTATCAGTTTCCTGAACTAGGACCATTCATGTTTATATCTAATGCTAATAATCACATGCACAGTCTTTTAGTTCTTTAGGAAATGAGGAAAACATATCTACAGAAATCTAAAAAGGAAGAGCTTCAGTTTGTAGAGGAAAAGAAAAACTGATTCCACTTCACACACCATGTAAACAGACAATATTAATGTAATGCATTTTAATTAAGAACAGTTCACTGTATTCCACATCTTCATTAACTTCTATTATTATGTATTTTCCAGGCATCAATTACAACAGAATTTTCAAGCATCATGTATTTTACCCCACTGCACGCTATTCTATGTTTAAGCCTGATATTTCTAACAGTCCCAACCCTCACAGAGTCAAAAAGAATATTAACCAAAGATATGGCAAGACATTTTATTTGCACTCTTGAAGGACTTCTGGAGACTTTTGGTTTTCTGCTGAAAAAGAAAACCATCTTGTTTCCTTCCCATTCATCTGCTGGTTTTTGACTGAAATTTTACTATAAGCACATTGGAGTAGAGTCTGAGTTTTCTGTAGCTGTCTGAGCAATCCCCAACACACGGGTATCACAATGACTCAATAAGGCTACTTGGAGCTATAGAAATATTAATGCATTTATTAGTAAAGAAACACACAAATAACAGTACAAATCACATCAGTGTATGCCATTTAATGTCCTGTATAAATCAAGCAGTTTTAAGGCAGTGTTTAAAGGGGAGTGTGTGTGTATGAATTAGGGTGAATGAAAGATGCTCAATAAGACCAAGTGCCGGGTCTTGCCCTTGGGTCACAACAACCCCAGGCAGCACTTCAGGCTTGGGGAAGAGCAGCTGGGAAGTGGCCTGGCAGAAAAGGACCTGAGGGTGCTGGTCAACAGCAGCTGAACAAGAGCCAGCTGCGCCCAGGTGGCCAAGAAGGCCAATGGCATCCTGGCCTGGATCAGCAATAGTGTGGCCAGCAGGAGCAGAGCAGGGATTGTGCCCCTGAACTTGGCACTGGTGAGGCCACGCCTTGAGTCTTGTGATCAGTTCTGGCCCCTCACTACAAGAAAGACACTGAGGGGCCAGAGAAGGGAAACAGACCTGGTGAAGGGTCTGGACAACAAGGCTGTTGAGGAGCAGCTGAGGGAACTGGGTTTGTTTAGCTTGGGGAAAAGGTAGCTCGGGGGGACCTTATGACTCTGTACACACACCCTGAAAGGAGGTTGTAGCCAGGGGGGATTAGTCTCTTCTCCCAAGTAACAAGGGACAGAACAAGATGAAATGCCCTCAAGCTGTGCCAAGAGAGGTTTAGGCTGTGTATTAGGAAAAAAATCTTCATCGAGAGAGTTGTCAAGCACTGGAACAGAGTGCCATGGGAATATCCCATTCCTGTGGATATTTTAAAAACATGTAGATACGGTGCTTAGAGATATCGCAGTGCTGGGTTAATGGCTGAAGTGATGATCTGAAGGGTCTTTTCCAACCTAAACTATTCAATGATTCTATGAAAATCTGACTCTGATGGAGACAACAGTATTTTGTTAATGACTGAAATGGGCCAATAAAAACTACATTTTTAAAAATACAGTGATAGTAAGATACTTCCAAATTAATTGGAGCTGGTTGCAAGAACTGAGTTGTGCTGTGAGAAAGCTGCAGTACATGGGCCCACATACTAGAGGGACATTCAGTGAGTCCTCTTTCCAGATAAAAACAGGCATGCTGACAGCAGGTTTCCTGAGCAGCAAGTGTCCTAGTCCGATTTCCATCATCCAGAAAACACTTTATTTCTGAAAAAAATCTACTCTGCAGTTTGACGCCATCCTGGCTGAGAGCAAGACTCTTGTCTGTGGTGTTTATTTCTAAAAATATAGCCCTTGCAGAGGGAACAGTGGACTTTAATGGCATCCATATGTGACTGTACACGCATCAGCCTTTGTCATCCCCAGAAACAGCAGGCTACATGTTGTCACTGTCAAAGCAATGCCATCAACTAATAGAGATTTCATTCCCCCCACTGAATAACTAGATTCATGATAAAATTATTTAATTGTGCTGGCATTCAATCTGCAGGGCAATTACCTGATAAACCAGCACAACACAAGCTCTTCCCTCCCATACGGTTTGAGTCATTAGTATACCTTCCTTGTCACACATCTGGTCTGCAGCACTCTCCAGAAAAAGCGCAGCCTCAGTCCATGCCCTCCCTGCCCCCCCCACATCCTCCATCCAGCCTTGTTACAGTGACACGGTGGTCCATGAACACCCCCATAAAGGTTTGTTGGAGTTGTTCTATGATGTCATTTTGGAGGTAAATCACCACAGTATTTTTCTCCACAGGCCACTGACACCTGAGAAATTTTTCCCACTGTACAATTCTATGATGAAACAGTGTTAGCAACAGCAACCCCAAATGCCCAAGTCCATCCCTTGGGAAGGGCACAGAAACTACAGCCCAAGAAGGAACACCTCTGTGAAGGCACCCCTGTCACTGCAACACTACCCACTCGCATGACACAGGAACAGCAGGCGCACCACCACAAGGAACTGCTCCTCTTCCAACAGCTGGTTCCAACCTTATCTCTGACAGGGTGAGGATAAGTACAACAAAGTGTATTTGCAGGGGCAGGGAAGTTTAAGTAGAACCACAGACTCCTTCATAAGCTATGCCAGCTCTTACCCGCAGTTATCCTCAACATGGACCCAGAACTGCCTGTCATCCTAGCTACACAAAACCATAACATAAATCCCTCTCCTTCTTCAAGGGTATGAGGGCACCCCTTGTGCAGTGTATTGCCCATGACCAAGGGGGTCCAACACACACAGAGCTGTGGCAGCCACACATACTGTGCCAAGGAGACACAGTGCCTTGTCGCTTCTGGCCACAGCAGTCACTTGTCCATCTAAACTCAGGTGGCTGGCCATGTCCCACATTGACCTTTAGATGAAGTGTTGTAGGTATATTGGCCAAATTTGCTGTGCTGCCCACACAGTCAAAAGAAGTTGTTTGCAGTTGCTCTTAAGTATCCTCCTTTCTCATCAATGAATGGGCAGAAGAGGAAGAGGAGTAGGGGATGTTTCCCATACATCAAAACTGCAGCCTTGAAAATGTGAGGCAAAGCCTAATGAGGTTTTTACAGGCTTTCAGGTATCAGGAAAAGAGCTTTTTCATTCAGGTTGAGGAGGACTTGATGGGTTGAGTATAGTAGATGGTTAACAGTCAAGAGATAGCAAAGCAGTGATTACAGGCACTTTGAATGATGGAAACTTCAATGCTTTGTGGAGGTGGAAAGTGGTTTGTACCCGTTAGAGGAAGTGGAGATGGGTTCTGCACTGCCTAGAAGGACATGTCACAGTGTATTTTGTGTAAGAGCCAGGATTTTAGGGTTTGGGTTATTTTCAGTTGCTCTACCATTGCAAGAAATTCACAGACTATGCATTTTATGTTTTATAAGTGATTCTAGTGGGCACGCTGTGGGGATGTATGACTCAGAATAGATATATATGATGGTGGTGGGACTGCTCTGAGATGTCCGGAGTCCACAGTGGGAAAGGCAATGCTCTGTTCTGGTGCAGAAGGCATGGAAGCAATGAAACAGGCAGCAGTTTACAGGTATGGTTCATGAGGGGGACCTACAGCGAGGATCAAGGTCACTGTTACACCAGAGGAAATGTGACTTCCACAAGGAAATGCACAGAAAGGAAAACCAGCCTGCACAGGACCTAGGGGGCTGTTCATGATGAACAAGACATCCGTGAAGGCTGCCAGGAATGGCCTTGATAACTTCCTTGTTCACCAGTGGTTCACACTGGGAGGCAGCAAGAAGGGCAGCAAAGACTCCACCTACTACAGCTGCTGCAGGTCACCACAGAGTTCTAGGAGGATGACAAGGTTTCACCAGAAAGCACTTGTTTCCCTGGCCTTGAAGCTCATTTTTACCACAGACAACAAATTCCATGGCAAGAGAAGAGAGGAAACTGCTGTGTGAAAGACCTTTGCAATGTCTGCAACATAAGACTACAACGTTTTGTTCAAGACAGCTGCCCTGCATATAACACTCAAGGATTCTCACGTGGGTTCATGTGACAGCTCATCCACGGACCTCTCTTTCAGAACATGTACATCTATCTTCCCTGGCATTATGCCACAGAAAGCCAAGGGAAAAGCAGGCCCAGATGTGAGAAAAGTCATAAGTGGCAGCAACAGAAAAAGCTATCACACTGTGGGTACCCTCGTGCTTCTAACACGATGCCGTCTGTAGATAACAAGAGAACACACTGCCTGCAAAAAGAGACCTCTGCCATGCAGAGACAAAGACCTGGATCAGATATTCTGAATCAGGAGCCCACTGTGAGTTGAGACATGGCTGCTTCTGCCTCCACCAAGTCCTCAGAGGTTATCACAGAATTGCTTACATTGCTTTCCACATAAAAACGATGTCCAAAAACAATGACAACTGTCAACACAGGCATGCTCTTTGTACTGATCTGACATTACACAGCCCCCAAATACACCTCAGTTTCATGCTGCCCACCAAAGAGGCATGAGTTAACCAGTCACCAAAAGACTAATCTCACAATGTGAAGTCACCTGTCCACCTTACTCATGTAGCTGAAAAGGAATACTGCTATTCCTTGGATACTCAGAAGAATGCCCAGCACAACTCATTTATAGATTCACAACAGCCTCATGTAAGTGACATTGTTGTCTAAGTACCTTTTATCATATTTTAACCAAGTAAAGGTAAAACATAAGTAAACATTTTTTCAATACATCCATGGTAAGTAATGAAGTTGCAGATGTCTAAAATTCACAAGCAGAGGTGTGACAGGAAAACCACACTTAACCTACTTACACTGAGATTAAATCAGGAAGGACTCTCTTTCTGCTGGCACCGCAGAAATCAGTTGCTGGGGTCTAACATTCAGCACACCTGATGACTCAGGTTGCAATCCCTCAGAAGAAAACACCTTCAGGAGACAACAC